TAATATACAAAACGATAACTTTAGAATACTCTGTTGAACAAGAAATACTAACAATTGCAGTTAAATTTTTTCCAAATTTTCATTTGACAATATTTTAGGCATAGGAGCAGATATGATTTTAATTCCAACTGCATATTGGTGTATGGGTGCCTTCCAAAACAGGTATGCAAGCAGTTTTGGTTGGCATTTTAGTCATACCTATCATTGTTTCAAGACCACTGTGCCTGTTCGTTCTAACTACATTTATGTTATTTTGTTTTCCTATTTCTTCATTTTCATCTTTATACTCTATCGATAAAAAAATCGACAGTAACACCAAACAAAATATCGACAACAAAACCGATAAAAATATCGATAAAAATTTCGAAAAAAAAATCGATAACAATATTGGTAGCAAAATCGATTAGAAAATCGATAAAAATATCGATAACAAAATCGATAAAAATATCAATCACAAAGTCAATAAAAATATCGATAAATAATCGATGACAAAATCGATAAATAATCGATAACAAATCGGAATCGATAAATATGTTGGTAGAAAAATCGATAAAAATATCGATATTAAAATCGATAAAATCATCGATAAATAATCGATAGCATCATCGATAACAAAATCGATGAAAAAATCGATAAGTTCGGAAAATATCATAGCAAAATCGATAAATACTTCGATAGCAAAATCGATAACAAAACCGATGAAAATATCGATTATTACATCGGTAAGTCCCGAGAATCCCGAAAATCTCTGGAGTCCCAAAATAGTTGCCAGATTGTGTCTCTATCTACATCCTTTTCTCTATAATTACATTTATTTTAATAAATTTCCTTGTTTTATTTGCGCTAGAGATAATCAGATCGGACTAGCCGATCAAGGAAATTGATTAAACATATACAAACCGATCGGAAATAACAACAACTACTACATTTATTTCAATCTTTCTTTTTCTATCTTCATCTTTACTTTTATCGGTATCCTCATCCTCATCTTTTTCTTAATATTTATTTTTGTTTTTACTTTTATGTTTATCATTTTCTACATCAACATATTCCCCTTCACCTTTGCCTGTATAAGTAAAGTTTTTAAATTTGCCTTGAGCTTCATTTTTGCTTTTATCTTTACGCATCTTTTTTTTTGTTTTTATTTTTACCTTTGCCTTCATCCTTTTCTTTAACTTGTACGTACTCACCTTTACTTTCATTCTTGTATTGGTCTTTTTCTATGTGTTATTCTTTAACCTTTTATTAGCAAGTTTTTATTAAATTAATACCATGTGCATTAGGGTGGTCCAAAAATGCATGTGAAAAAGTAAAGTCGGAATTTTTATGCTCTCACCCCCTAGGATTGTTCTATACCGAAAAAATATACCCCTATTTTTTATTGTGAAATCAAAAGATATTTAGAGGTCGCTCAAAGCGCCCAAAGTTTTCCTTGTATTTTATATGGTGAAAAAAAACTTTTCGTAGAAATGGTATTCTAAAAAAACAATATTTTTCTATCGGAAAACTCTTTTTATCTGCAGAAGATTCCCAATAATAATTCCTAATTGTTTATTTAACAATTTTTTCATCGCAACTATAATTTATTGNATCGGAAAACTCTTTTTATCTGCAGAAGATTCCCAATAATAATTCCTAATTGTTTATTTAACAATTTTTTCATCGCAACTATAATTTATTGGTCCCCCAACAACCCGAAAAGCCCCGAAAAATGCAATGCGGGGACAAATAAAAAATCGTTAGTATTCAAAAATGGTTAAATAAATAATTGGGTATTATTATTGAAAGTCTCCTGAAGAGAACCAGAGTTTTCCGATCGAAAAATATTGATTTTCAAGAAATCTATACCATTTCTACAAAAAGTTGTTTCTTCCCCATATAAAAATACATGGAAAACTTTGAGCAATTTGAGCGACCTCTAAATATTTTTTGATTTCAAAATAAAAAAATAGGGGTATACTTTTTTCGATATAGAACAATCCTAGGGGGTGAGAGCATTACAATTTCGACTTTACTGTTTTTGGACCACCCTAATGTGCATATACTCAAGAAGCACTTGTTTCAGCCACAACCATATCCGTTGCACCATTTCCGTTGAAGTTGCCAATTTACTCCCAACCGCCGCTAAAGAAGTTTCACTTCAAAAATAGTTTTACTTGCTATTCTTTATAGTTTGTTTTACTTCGATGCATTTTCTTCATATATTTACCCTGCACCATAATTAAATTTGCTAACTCACCTTTTCTAAAAAAAAAAAAACATTGCATTAACAACTGCGCTTGGCCTTTACTTTCGTTAACGATTCCATTTCTCACAGTCATTAACCGTAAGCTCCCTCTCATAAAACGCTTTCACAGTGGATGCTTTCCATTTCCAGACAACCGGTCAGGTACGAGCATGATTTTTAATTTCGACCAAACTCAAATACATTGTTTGTTGGTCCAAATAATGAGACACGTATTTTTTCTTTTGCCTCGGAAAAATTTTTCGGCCGAATTAAACGCGATTTTGTTTTTCAGGCAAAAATCTACTTTTCGAATTGACAGTGAGAATGTTTTTTTAAAATGCCCATAACTTTGTCAAAATTTAATAGATTCCAACAATGTTTTTACTCAAATGTCAGTAATTCTTGTCTTGTAATATATCAGCAAAAAATACAGCCGTGATCATTTTTTGTGTATCAAATAGATATTAGAACACCCTTTCCACCATACAGTTTCGATTATAAAAAGCGGGAAAATGTGATTTTGTATTTCGAAACTGTATGGTGGAAAGTGTGTTCTAATATCTATTTGATACACAAAAAATGATCACGGCTGTATTTTTTGCTGATATATGTATTACATACATATGTTCCATTTAGTTAAACAATATAAGAATATTGTAGTATGTACCACAAAGACGTATATTTTCTATAAAATATCATAACTCAGAAAAAAAAAATCTTCGCTATTAGAGATTTGGGTTGATTGTAGTTCAAAGTGTCTCTTTCCCGGTAAAAAAGTTTGAGAGAAAAAAAAAATACACTTTTTGAGAAATTAAGTTTAAAAAAAAATATGCACTTTTTGTTTATTGTTAAATAAAAAATTTTAAATAATGAAAATCAATAATTGTATCATTCTATCTTGAAGTGACAAGAATTACTGACATTTGAGTAAAAACATTGTTGGAATCTATTAAATTTTGACAAAGTTATGGGCATTTTAAAAAACATTCTCACTGTCAATTCGAAAAGTAGATTTTTGCCTGAAAAACAAAATCGCGTTTAATTCGGCCGAAAAATTTTTCCGAGGCAAAAGAAAAAATAAGTGTCTCATTATTTGGACCAACAAACAATGTATTTGAGTTTGGTCGAAATTAAAATCATGCTCGTACCTGACCGGTTGTCTGGAAATGGAAAGCATCAGTGATATATTACAAAAAGTAAAAAATAAATGGTTAATGATAGAAAAAGTTACAGTGAGTTTAATGTAGACCAGTTATTTTCGGTCTTTGTTTTAAACCAATATATGTACATATAGACTCAGTGCAGCTTGTGATACCTTTTCTGTACTTCTGGCACGTAAGGCGCACTCAAGTTTGTCTTTGTCATTAGGAAGCGATAGCAAAAGTTAAAATCTTCTTCTCGTTCTTTATGTATGTACATTGGCTCCAAAACGACGCGCCATTTTTTCACCTAAAATGGATTAGAAATAATAATTACAAAAAAAAAAAAAACGGTTTCGATTTCTTACCTGTTTGTATTGCTAAAGCAATTGTAAAACTCAAGTCATGCATTTTTAATGAATAATATTTCATTTCCTACATGCCTTAACTGCAGTTTATGCCTATTGGAAAAAGCCGGAAGTAGGTATTTGGTCATAATAAAAATAAGCAAACAAAAGGAAAAAAGCAAAAATCGAGAAATAAACCTTGCCGATAATCTCTTGTTATAATTATTGTAAGTTATCTGAGCTCTGGCGATCAAAAGTGAGTGCATTGTGTTTTTTCTTAAATGTTTGCAACGTTTTTCAAATTAAACTTTTTTCGCTATTTTTTTATAAAAATATATTTCATGCCTAAATCAAAACCACATAAGTCAAGCTGACGGCCTTTTCACTTTTTAACATATAAAAAGAAGGTTCTTGTAAAATAAAATTAGCAAAACCGTTGCAAACAAAATAAAAAAAATTAACGCTATAACGCTATAAAACCGCAAAATCCATCGGAAATTCATTAAAAATCAACGCGATTTTTAGCAGCTTAAAACTTTCACTTGTTTCATTAGAATTACATAACCGATCTATCTGCGTACCTACAATTTTTCTAAAAATTCAGATTAAAAAGTTCAAAATTTAGATGAAAATATGTTGAATTTTTCTACGTTTTGTATAAAGTTTGAAAGTTTGACTTATGTGGTTTCGATCTAAGTAGGAACCATATTTTTATTAAAAAAATTAAATTAAAAAACATTGCAAATATCAAACAAGATACACCATGCACTCACTTTCGATTGCCAGTGTAACTGCAATTAAGCGTTTGGTGGAAATAGGCCATAACATGAAATATCTATCTTATTCGCCCGATTCAGACCGAGTAGTTATTCCCCAGAATTACTATTATGACTTTCTTATAACACCTTATTAAGTTGTATTCTATGCGACAATAATAGACTTATTCTGACTAATTCTCCTCTATCCCGTGAATATTGTTATTCCGCCTTATTCCGACATATTAGGAGTGTCAAAAATATGGCCGTTAATTTTTGTTATTGTGGTGTTCAGCCTTGGTGAAATTATACCAGGTGTGGTAATAAGAGCGAGAAGAAATATTTGACACTATCTTTTTTAAAATTGGCTTGAAGAAATGTCTATAAGATAGCCGACTGTCAAGAAAATTAAGAAAATAAAGCGAGAAAGTGGTTTTATTACTTCACCTGTTTATAATTTCATCATGGTATTCAGCAAGGTAGAAGTAACAACCAATTGTAGCTCTATTTACAGCAGACTATGCTAAAAACCATAAAAATATGCAAACAAATCATTCTGCCTCATCCTGAGTTTCGCCCGAAAAAAATCACCCGAAAATTGTTCATCCGCCCACAGTAAATACATAGAAAACAAAAGTGAAAAGTGAACCGGTTCGGGGAAAATTAAACTCATGATAAGGCAGATTTTTTTTTATATAAATATTCTGCCTTATCCTGAGTTTCGCCCGAAAACAAGTTCACCCGAAAATTTTATTCCGCCAATAGTAAATACATGGAAACCAAAAGTGACAAGTAATTTTTAAGCAAAAAACAAAACCGACTTCAATTCTTATATAAATATATATATATATATATATATATCATGATCCAATGATCGGATTAGTATGGGACCACCTCTAAGACACTACCTTTCCGATGCAAAAAGAATTATCGAAATCGGTTGACGTGATTCAAAGTTATGCGGTAACATACATAAAAAAAAAAAAAAATATTCCGACGAACTGATAACCTCCTCCTTTTTTGGAAGTCGGTTAAAATGTGAACCGGTTCGGGGAAAATGCAACTCTTGACAAGGCTGATTATGTTATACATTTGACGTTTCAATCGCAGTCGCAAAGAGAAAATTGTCGAAATCACTTCTACTTTTTTATATTCTGACGACACAATTTTTCGACAAATCTCGCCAAAAATTTCTTCTCGTTAATAATCAGTCTTATCATGAGTTTAATTTTCCCCGAACCTGTTCACTTTTCACTTTTCGTTTCCATGTATTTACTATGGGCGGATGAAAAATTTGCGGACGAATTTTTTTCGGGTGAAACTCAGGTTAAGGCAGATTATTAAATTTTTTTTTTACTTATTTGACGGTCATGCCATTGAATTTGATATAAGGAAGGCAAGATGTTGGCCCGTTTTGGTGAAATATATGACTACAGCACCTGGGGTTTTCATACTAAATTTATTTGATTTGTATTTATTTATTTATTAAAAATATAACCTTTACTGCTTTTAAAAATACAGAAAAACAAAAGTGGTTTAAATACTTATATAAACTGTATTTACATAATCTACATCAGAACATTGTAATTGAATTGAAAAAAAAAACCATTTAAAGTAGTTCTATTCTTAATTTATACTTATATCCAATGTTCTTCCTGCTATGAACGTATATTACCGAGGAGTGGGGTGTCTTCAGCTGCTCTTGAAACGATAATTGTTTGCTTTGAAGTACTAGGTCCTGCCTCTTGATCCAGAGTATTTTCTGCTTTGGGGGTGATCTGAAATATTATGTAATAAAGAAGAAAAAAGCACTATTGTATTACTTACAAAATTAAACTAAAACAATGGATACTTTTTAAATGTAAATTTTTGTATACTCCTCCTAGATGTATGCGCAGTAGGGATGTTAATTTTTTGGATTTTTACGATCCCGGGATTTTCGGGATGTCGTTGGTTCAATCCCGGGATCCCGGGATCAGTCCCGGGACTTAGATATTTATTATTTTTCAACAACTTAAGNGGCTCCTATCAGATGTATGCGCAGTAGGGATGTTAATTTTTTGGATTTTTACGATCCCGGGATTTTCGGGATGTCGTTGGTTCAATCCCGGGATCCCGGGATCAGTCCCGGGACTTAGATATTTATTATTTTTCAACAACTTAAGATGAAAAAATTGCATCAATATGGTTTGAGAAGCTCTCCTACCATATAATAAATAATAAGTAAATGGGTTTGGAACGTACTTTTTTATTTTAAGTGAAAATTATTTCACAAGTAACAAAACGAAAGACAGTAATTAAATTTATATGCATTTAATAAAACTTTGGCGTGCTCATATATGATAAAGTAATTTAAGGTATGTCGAAAAAAGCTCGATGCAAAAAAATTAAGTCTTTCTGGTTGAAAGAAGTTCATAATACTAGTGACAGAAATAAATGAAGCGCCTTAATTCAACCAGTTTGGTCTATATTCCTTTTGTTTATTCAAAATTTACATTTCTTTATAAAAGTCTACCTCGTATTACATATAATTAACTGCATATAAATGGGCATTTCTCTGACGTCATGATTTTTTTTTTAAAGTCTATAATTTCAAAGATATGATTAATTCCAATATTTATTTAAAAAATTCAGTGCAATGTAAAACCAAATATGGGTACCAAATGAAATAATTTTTTTGGGTTCACAACGACAAATAGGAATTGAAAATGCCCCTTTAATCTATTTAATTTTTTAAGCTAATAAAGTTAGTCCTTAACATATAATTTTTTCAAAAGTAAGAATTGCAAAATTCTTAGGATATTCAATGATAAAATTATAAAAGCGTATTTTCAATACCTACCCGTCCCTAGGCAAATAATCCCGGGATTTTCGGGACTTGAAAAGACCGGGATCCTACGACCCCGGGATCCCGGGATTAACATTCCTAATGCGCACTAACTTCGCAGCCATCAGAGCTGTTATTTTGATTACAATTAGTATCATATTTTTTTTACAATTAAATTTATATGATGATTTAATTTTAATGATTATTTTAACTTTCATACATAACGCAACAATTAATAATTAATTATTAAAAATAATAAAAAATAGTCATGATTAATTACCATTAAAAAAATAATAATATAATTAAAAGTAATCAAATAATTAAAAATAATCAAATAATCAAAATTAATCCAATAATTTTTGTAATTTTTTGATTATTTTTTATTGTTTGATTATTTTAAATTATTTGATTGTTTTTAATTATTTGATTATCTTCAATTATTTGATAATAGATGACGCTGTGGCAGGTAAATTTTTAAAAGTTAGTATTAAATAACTGAAACCAAATTCACTGTACGAGTAAATACTTGTATTGTAGGTTGTATGTATGTACATATACATATGTATTGATGAAAGTTTTACACCAAATTTGGAAATGTGATGTGTGCAGGAATGAAATTCGGTTTTGTTTTAGTATGGACAATATTTTTATAAAAAATGTGCAAATAAAATAACAAAACAACCAGTGCTGTTTTTTGTTTTTCTGCGTTATTGTTATTCTCCTTGTGCATTAATCTTATGTTCCTGTATTAATTCTCATCATATGTATATTAACTTATGTATATATTAACAGCTTGACTTTTAAAAATCGAACAAGTTTTGAAAAGAGGATTTATAGACCTTTAAAACGATAATAATAATATAATAGATTGCCGCTTACACATATGCTAGTGTTTGGCCGAGCTTCTCCTCCGACTTGTGGCGTGCGCCTTGATGTTGTCACACAAAGCGGAGGGACCTACAGTTTTACGCCGACTCCGAACGGCGATTGTATTTTTATGAGAAGCTGTTTTTCATGGCAGAAATACACTCGGAGGTTTGCCATTGCCTGCCGAGGGACGACCACTGTTAAGAAAAAACCTTTTTCTATATTTTTTTTTGCGATGTTGCTTTGACCAGGGCTTGAACCCAGGTGCTGATGAGTGGAAGCGCACACTGCTTACCACTACACCACAGCGGCCGATAAAACGATGCATAACAATATATTGTTAGACTTAGGGCCGTTTTCTAATGAAAGCAGTAAAGTTGCCTTTACTAACAGGGCAGATAAATTGTTCCTTACTTGAAAAGTATTTTCGTTTTCTTATATTACCGGTAAAAATAAATTTGTTATTCCGTAATTACCGTAATTACGGCAACGCGAGAGTGAAACTTCACTACATTCGTCATAAAATTTCAAAGGTTGGCAATGCAACATAAGCAAATATAGAGCAAGAGCAACTGTTAGCAAAAACCAAAACGTTGATTGAAATATCTAATATATCTGACTCATGAACCAAAACCAAACCAAAATTTAAAGTTGGGAACA